CTCAGACTGTCAATGCTGCTATTGAACAAGCTCGTAATCAACAAATGGGTGGCGGTAATCGACCTCCTGGGCCACAAGGACAGCCATCCCAAGGTCCACAAGTTCCTACGCCGAACGCACCTCCTCATCCAACTATGCCTCAATCTCAACCTGGGCAGGCGCAAAGTATCAAAACCGAACCAACAATGCCAGGTCCAATCAACACCGCCATTACTCAAATGCAAAACAACCAGCAACGTCCGGGCCAAACAAATTCTCCTCAATCAGCCATTCCTCAATCAGCCAACTCTATCAATGCACCAAACCCACCTGGACCACCAAGAGCTCTAACCCATCAAGCGGCACTACAAACTGCGGCTCAAAGTTATTCCAGCGCGGGTGGTCAAACGAACACACCTAATACGGTCATGGGTCACTCGCATACTCACCCGAATACTATGCCCAGGGAACAACAAAATCCAAGCTCAACAAAACTTCCAATTCCCAAACATTTGCCAGAAAGAGCAATCGCACCCCCACAGCCTGTCCAAATGGGTCAATCACGTCCTTCATTTACTGGTGGTCCATCAGGTGCTGGTAACGGAGTTATGGGTCAACCAGTTATTGCCAAGACTCCAGGTTACGTCCTGGATGGCGAAGGTGACCGCGTTTTGAGTAAGAAGAAATTGGATGAGCTTGTTAGACAAGTTACCGGTGGCGGAGAGAATATTGCAGGTGGCGGTCTGACTGCTGAAGTCGAAGAGGTATGAAATTTCCCTGTATTCCCATTACATTGATTTTCGAGCTCGTCCTTACTACCCCTGTCGCGGATACATAATACACCATGATTACGAATGGGCTGAAATTAATATAAACTAACACGATCTACTAGTCCATTCTTACAGTCGCCGACAACTTCGTCGATCAAGTCCTTCAAGCCGCGTGTAAGAACGCCAAGGAACGTGGCTCTAAAATTTTGGAAATCCGTGACATTCAACTCACTCTCGAGCGCGGTTACAATATTCGTATCCCAGGTTACGCCAGTGATGAGATTCGAACCGTCCGTAAGATCGCACCAAGCTCTGGATGGATCAACAAGATGAGCGCCGTTCAAGCTGCAAAGGTCACGGGTGGAAAGGGTAGTGATTAAAAATGCTGTCCATAATTCCAGAAGGCGTTTTTCTATTTGTTTATCCAGGATGTCCGATACATCTTCATCACTTCGCAATGATGATTCAAATTGACGAAAAGGAAAATGATCATTATGAATATGAATCGGGATAAATTTCTTAGGAGTCACTATACTATCAGGGCATGGGATGGATGATAATTGGTGTTAGGCTATTCATCTTAAATTGATGTGCATATGGCATGGAATGTCGTTGGCGTTGGAGGAGTGTTATTATGATGTTTTGAAATCATAATCTGTATTCTCTCTGGGTATGTGTCGGTCTTCTAATCAGATAGGTACTAAGATACCAAGGTACTACCTAAACACCATGGCACTTCATTAATCTTAATACAAGTTCACTATGATGTGATGTCTATGATTTCCTATGATCATTATGATAATGATGATGTGACGTTCAATAATGAATCTATCGCCGTCATCTGCTACTGTCTTTTATTGCAATGGCCTCCCACATTGGAATTAATGTCGCGTTCTACAACTCTGTCTACCGAGTACTGACCTATCCTGACGAGAGTATTTTTTGAATCTCTACACTAATCTACTGACCTTGTTCATTAACGTGCAAAATTTGCTCATCATTAAAGCCTCGTCTCGTCAAGGACCCGAGTGATGTCCTGTGTTGACACGTGATTCAGATGTGATCTCGTGCTTTAGGTCGGCGGCTGATACGAGATTAGAATCTTGGTTGATATCAGGATGGGCGGGTGATGGATTAGTCGTTGAAGTTATATTGTGAAGCTTTTATTAATAAAATTGGCAATTGGTATGTACGTTTGTGGTTGCAAATAATCAGTATTATGTACGTCAACGTTCTTCAATGATGTTTAAAAAGCCATTTTTTCGGTGTTCCACATTAGCTGGCTTGCAGGTTCCTTCGCCAGCTTGCAGTCGCCCAGCTCCCCAGGCACCCGATGACTCGCGTTAAAACAGCATCAATGGTCGCTAAGTGTAGCCGTAATAATCTTGAGCTTTGATGTTGTAAAGGTAATCCAAGATGTGAACGACAGCTACAACAACCATTGACAACTCAACTACATAACACCCTTTTTAATCAATAACCCTTTCAAACTCCTGTGATACCTTATACTCACAGAGTTATATTCTGTGAATAAGAGACTGATTATATCACTTTTAAAATCATCCAACGCGACTCGAAGAAAAGTACCTTAGCTCTACCACCCATCAGTCTAGGTTTACAAAAGGGCGACGTCAACCTTCAAATATACTCTTTATTCCGCAGTTATGCCTGGCAAAACACCATACAAGAAGGGCACAGATCCAGTCGAAAATGGTATCAACGGTGCGAAGAAGGATGATGCAAAGAGCTCATTGAAAGGTGGAAAGGGAAAGAAGACCAAGGAAGGCGAGGAGGAGATGACAGTCGTCGTACCACCATCAAAGAGTTCTAAATTATCAGCTCCTCCTCCGAAAGACGGTGATGGAGATGTAGCTATGGATGGCTCCGCGGAGGTCGAAGAAGGTGCAGGTGTTGAGAAGATTGATCCGGTGGCCAAGGCTGTTGCTGGTAAGTCAAGCAATCACCCAACATATATAAATAAGTATCTATCCACCAACAATAGCTAACATTTTACTTCTTTCGCAGATATCAAGAGCAATTTTCCATTATTAGAGAAAGCTGTTGCTTTGTTTGATGCTAGATACACACTCCGAGCCCTCAGATCTATTTCCTCTATTCGAAAACATCTCACGGCTGATATTCTGGCGCAAGTTATTACGGAAACTTACCCTACCGCAACTCAACAAGCAAAGGCTTTACTCATAGGTATTGACAGAGAGAATGCCACATTTAACAAGGCATCATCAAGTGAGATGGAAATCGATTCTGATTCAAAATCTGCCAAAAACGGGAAGAAGGAACCAAAAGAAATCATTCCGGAGATTGATATTTTCCTCAGCATCCTCGTACAAATCTTCTTCCTTGACAATAAGATGAATGAGAAGGGCTTTACACTTTCCAAGCATGTCACAACAGTCATTCATGGACTCAACCGCCGAACACTGGATTCTCTCTCCGCTCGCGTGTACTTTTACTGGTCTTTGTTCGCTGAACAATTGGCACCTCTTCCACCTTCTCCAGCTTCTCCAATTGTTGCTATTCGACCAGCTCTTCTTTCTGGCTTACGGACTGCTGTTCTACGAAAAGACATCGATACCCAATCAACTGTTATCGTACTTCTCCTACGAAATTATCTATCAACCTCCCATATCACTCAAGCTGATCTTCTCATCTCGCATACCAAATTCCCCGAAAGCGCCTCGAACAACCAAGTTGCAAGATATTTATACTACTTGGGACGAATCAGGGCCATTCAATTGAGATACACTGAGGCTCATGAACATTTGACAGCCGCAACTCGCAAAGCTCCTTCGAGTCCGAGTGCTGCAGGATTCTCACAAACTGCAACGAAGTTACTTCTTGTGGTTGAGTTGTTGATGGGGGATATTCCTGACCGTGCAACATTCAGAATCGCTAGTCTCGAGCGTGCTTTACAACCATATCTTAACCTCGTTCAAGCGGTTCGAGTAGGGTTGATTGCAGAATTCGAGGCTGTGATCACTCAACATGCGGAGACTTTTAGACGTGATGGCACTTATACCTTAATCCTTCGTCTACGACAAAACGTCATTAAAACCGGTATTCGAATGATGTCCTTGTCGTACTCGAGGATCTCTCTCCGAGATATCTGCATACGCTTGAAGCTCAATAGTGAGGAATCTGCGGAATACATCGTTGCAAAGGCAATCCGTGATGGTGTCATTGAGGCAACTTTGGATCGTGAGAAGGGGTTCATGAAGAGTAAGGAAGTTGGAGATGTCTATGCTACTAGGGAGCCTGGTGAAGCATTCCATGATCGTATTCGTGCTTGTCTTGCTCTTCACGATGAGAGTGTTAAGGTATATTTTCTTCTCTTATCTTACTGTGGCATGTATTATATACTAATTCGTATAACCACAGGCTATGAGATTCCCAATGAATCAACATCGATTGGAACTCAAGAATGCTCAAGAAGCAAGAGAACGCGAACGCGAAATGGCAAAGGAAATTCAAGACGGTGATTTGGATGAAGATGACCTTGGCGGAGACTTTGAAGGCATGTAAGATGAGACTTGAGGAGCGGAATGGAAGGCCTTCGAAGGTGTATACAAACCCGAATGCGAATGCAACTTGTAGCATGAGATGGTGAAGGGAAGAGAGAGAATTGGTTTGGTGGCACTTCATACACTTCTACCAGAACTTGTTTTGCTACTATTACCTCGTTCCCAATCTGGGATTTCTTTCCAGGAATTGAGAAGATTACAACCTACGACATACAGATGGCTGGAGGTTGGAAATTGGACCATGAAATGAAGGAAATTCCACTGCTACATTAGTTTTTTTTTTACTTTTTACACCTTGACTGAACTTTATTTGCATGCGAGGCAACGCATTTGGACGTACAATATCTATGCAGATGCTGGCCGGGGGTTAATGACTAGAAGTGTTATTTTTGTAAAATGACAATCCTTTTGATGCGTTACATAATATGGGAGAAAGTTTCTGTTTCTAATTTGTGGTTACTGTGACGATGATGTGTGATGTGTTTAACAACTATTGACCGGTGCTATGCAGAGCTTTGGACTGGGACAAGGTATGTGGATGATGTGGGTGGATAAAATATATATGGTAGCCTTGCAGCATCTTGGTGGAGAGCCTTGTGGATACAGAAGCCTTGTCGCGGTGCGGTGATGTAAACATTCTTAAAACAACTTCGACGCGATCAATGAATCTGAGAAATTTTATAGAGTGAATGATTCACTTATGGCAAAGGGAATTTTGAGCGAAGGAAGAGGAAGAGGGAATTTCAATTGTACCGCTAGAAAAAGATACGGTAGCAGAAAAAAGGTCGAAAGTTTAATTTTCCCATAATAACTACAAAAGTGGCAGCTGTAATCGAGAGCTTGAACATTACATTACAAGCTTCGCAATCCACGAATACAAATCTACCTCGTCACAAACAAAACGAACAAATATTGACGCAGCGCGCACTTCTTGACGGTGGTGATTAGAACTGCAGATAGGTTTAATTATCTCAGGTTTGCGACAATAAATCTGCTGGAGAGAACAAGCAGGAGTTTCTAGCAAATTAACCTTATCACCAGAAGAATTGCGATTCAATCCATTGCAAGGACGGCAACAGCGACGAGATTTCCACACAATCACAGCGGGAGTTGTTCCGTACAATTACGATATAATACCAAGGTTATAATTGGACAACATATCAATCCCTAAATTCCGAAATCAATTAACAATTTTGGGTGTGGTGGATTTCACAATTTGACCTTACCACCAGGGCCTCTGAGCTATTTACCCCCCCTTTTCAACCAAATATCGGAGAAAGTACGATACGATGCCATCACGAACCCTCCGAAAGCGCTCGCATAGAGCAAGCTCACGCGATACACATTCCAATTCAAATCCCGACCCAAACGCAAATACAAATACAAATACAAATGCTTCACCAGATACAATCACGGTACGAACTACGACGACAACAACTACTACAATGATGGTTGATAAGGATGGTGTTGAGGTTGAGGGTAGTAGGAGAGTCAGTGGAGGAAGAACAAGTAATGGTGGGAGAACAAGCACTGGTTCTGGAGAGAAAAGACAGAGAGGATTGGCGGAATTTGGTATTACGAGAAGTCCACATCCGCAAGGAAAGAAACGCGCGCGTGAGATCGAGGGAGAGGGAGAGGAAGAGGAAGAGGGGGGCGAGGATGGGAATACCATGAATGGTGGAAACATGGCGAATGAAACAAATGGAATAACAATTGGTCCAATGAGCTCTACCCAAGATCAAGAGGATACAAATACACCCAAACGCAGAAGAATCAGCACAACGAGTCGGGTTAATGGTTCGATTACTGTTACTGGAACTGGAGAGAGGGAAACACCAAGGGAAAGAGCCAGGGAAAGAGATGTTACAGTCAGCATGGAGAACTCATTACCTTCGCCCCCTGCTGAAGCAGGCGATAATGAGCATCATGGAAATCCGGCTGAGGTTGATGTTGGAGAAATAAGTTCGCCTTCTGAAAATAGAAGTGGTGGAAGTACTGGGACAGAGGCGGAGACGGCGAAGAATGTTGACGAGAAAGAGAATGATGAGGAAAAAGATGAACAAAGGGAAAGAAATATCGATGAAGTTGTTTTTGGAGATTTATGCTTCAAGAGTTGGTATTCGAGTTTTTACACCCGCGATGTCATCGGAAATGGAATGATAGAAAATCATTCTCAGAGTGTAAGTCAAGGAAGTGGAAAAAGCAGCAAGAGTGGAAAGAGCGGCAAGAGTGGTAAGAGTGGGAAAGGGGGAGACAGAGATTCGAGAGGACCAAAGGGTTTGCAGGTTGATAGATTGTTTGTCTGCAATTGGTGCTTTGGATATACAGTCCATGGAGGGGAGATGACGAAACATAGAGAATGCTGTGAGCGTAAAGGAAGAGTGCCTGGAAATTGTGTTTATGAACATGATGAAAACGGAGAATGGAGTGTTTGGGAAGTGGATGGAGAGGTTGAGGGTGTAAGTTTTCTTCTCTTCCTCCTGGTTGTCTTGATTGCACTTCTATACCGACATCATTCGAAAAATCTCTACTAATATCGCCGCAAAGACATTCTCGCAATCCCTGTCTCTCTTCGCCAAACTCTTCCTGGATAATAAATCGGTCCTCTACGATGTGCAGTCTTTTAATTATTTTCTTCTCGTTCACACCAATCCCGGTACGAAAGAACAACAAATCGTAGGGTTCTTCTCAAAGGAAAAGATGTCATGGGATAATAATAATCTAGCTTGTATTCTTGTTTTTCCTCCATGGCAAAAGAAGGGATTGGGAAGTATTTTGATAGGCACGAGTTATGAAATTAGTAGGAGAGAAGGACTACTTGGAGGACCGGAGAAACCAATTAGTGAGTTAGGAAAGAAGGGGTATGGGAGGTTTTGGGGGGCAGAGGTAGCGAGGTGGTTGTTGGAATGTGAGGTTGGTGTGGATACTTTAATGGGAGAGGATGAGGTAGTGGATGAGGAAGAGGAGCTTGATGTTGAGGTGATTAAAGTGGAAAAGAAACCACCGGCGAAGAAACCATCGGGGAAGGGAATGGGAAAGGGTTGGAGAAAGGGTATGAAGGGTGTGGGCATGCAGCCTCAATCTCTTTCTCAACCATCCTCTCAGTCAAAGGAAAATCCAGGACCAGCACCGAAATTAACGCCAAAAGCAACAAAATCGACGCCAAAATTACCCGTAACACCGCCCATGGAAGATACCTGCGGCGCAACTACTGTGGAAGCTATTAGTAAAGGCACATGGATAGCAGTAGACGATGTTCTTGGCGTCCTCAGATCAATGGGCGTACTTGAAACAGTCGGTGGCTCAAACAGAGATAAATCGGGAAAGACGAGTGCAAGTACACTAGGGGGAAGAATTGAGAAAGCGGGGAAAAGATATAAAGTTAAAGTAGATAAAGAACAAATCCGCAAGTGGGTAGAGAAAGAAGGATTGAGTTTGGAGAAGTGTGTAAGGGAAGAGGGGTTTGTAGAGGGATATGGATATGCGGTTAGTGATGTGAGTGGAGTCAGTGGCGAAGGGAGCTTGATGGAAAGTATTGAGGGGAGTGGGGAAGAGGTTGATGAGGCGGGAGAGGAGGATGAGTTGGCGTGAGAGGAGCTAAAAGAACATGGTATAAACCGGAATAGGTGTTTCGGTGTCTTTGGTGATAAATTTTAAGGGATCCAATTCGGTCGGAGTTGGTTGGGCTCATGGGGACTTATCGGTTTGGATTCAGTTTATTGTTTATTAGATACCATAGCGAGAGTCGTTTGAACCCAAGACTAAATATAAGTGCATTGATTTGATTTACTCTTCCTAGGCTATCATGAGTTCATGTGTGTGCATGGATACTAGATGATAACCCATTGTTTGGACTTGATTCAAATGCTCGAGTTCATTCTACTCTCGTAAAAGGGATGGTGATGGGATTGATAACATAGGAATTGAAGGATGGGCAGTAGGACTAAAGAGCAGAGAGGATTTGCATTTTGGGCAAGGGGTTTCAGAATCAGATTGTTGAAGATAGTGAAGGTAGGAGAGGGGGGGTATGATAAGAAATATTAATGTATTAGAATAAATTTGTCGATGGCTTGGATGCTTGGGAAGTCAATTGCAGAGTTTGAGAGGATTAGACTCATAATGTCAATGATAAAGATTGGTATAATTTTCAGCAAGAATAAGTGGTAAAAGTTTGATTGAGAAGACTAAAAGACAAAGCTAACTAGCAAAGGCAAATTAATGTTGAATTAATGTTTGATTGCCAAAGCAGAGAGTGTTGTATCTTCCTTGGTGAAAAATTTGGGAAGGGAAATAAGTTTTAGAGATATAGGAAACTAAGAGAAATCATTGTACTAGAGAGAGAAGCTAGAAGTGAGAGGCCGTCTCCTCAACTCCAGGCGAATTTTGAAGAACCATTCAAGGCAGAGGACAACCTCCAAAATGCAAATCGTCATTTGCAATAGCTTCCGCTTGATTAATCACTGTACTTCCATCCATCCGCTTACCTTTCAAAAAAACATGTTTGGTGAACAAAACCGTTACACTCTTTGGCGGAACTTCAAATCTCTCTGTCACCTCCGACTCTGTAAACTCGGTCAACGAGCTAGAACTTGAGGTCGTAAACTGATAGTTAAGCGTCACATTAACTTCGACGAGTTTGAATCCATGCGAAGCGCTGATTTCGACGCCAACGCTGTGAGACATCTCATCAGTCTTTGTCTTACTCAACCCGTATTTGATTTTCTTTTCGCGACTGAAAGGACCACTGCCGTCATTGCTCCAAACGCCTTCTGCGACCCAGCTTGTTCCCTTGCTGATTTCAATGAATGGGTTTGAAATTCCTTCGATGCAACGGGGATCGCTAACCGGATAATAGCATGTAAGTGGAAGACACACGCTAGCATTCTCAACTACATCGTAGCGTTTTCCGGTGTTGGGAATGGTAGTAGGGGTTACTTTGGGAACGCCTTGAGTGAATTCTTTAAAGGCGTTTGGGATTTTCAGCTGAGGAACGACAGCTATTCCGGTATTGGGCTTGGTAGGGGTGTAGTTGGGTGTTAAGTGGCCGCGGAATGTATCGGCAAAGACGGGAATATATTCACTCCCATCAACGCCGTTGTCACTGGGAAGAATATTCCAGATGGAGAGGCCTTGCCCGAAATCAGCACCACTGCCATTCCATGGACGAGTATCCATGTAAGTGCCGTACCCGACTAGGTCGGCACGTAAGCACCATACCAGACTGTTGAGATTGGGTTTGTTGAGGCTCTGGACCATTACATCACCCATTGAAACATAGCCAGATGGGGCAACGCTTTAGAGATAACAGTCAGCACCATTACATGGATCAAAGAGATATAACTCAAATCACACATCTTTCTCTGAGTGCAGGAAAATTCATGGGGGGCAAAGAGAGTGCATCAAGTTTTGGAATATGACTTACGGCCGCCACAGAATCGCTGCGACACTTCCACTCCCACCACCATACCCCCAAATTCTAGTCCAGTCAACAGGCCTTTTAACAGCGGTCCGACCTCCACTCGTGTTTGGATTGGCGCCGACTAGGAGCGCAGCTCGAAAATTTGTTTCGCCTTGATTGTTGCGATCGCTAAGACAAATCGAACCCATTGCGTAAAGGTCACCTTGTGGATTGGGGTGCCAAAATGTGCATCCTTGGGTAGAGCCGAAATGTCGATTATCCCATCCGAATGTGAAATCTTTGGTCAGGGTGACCCTAAGATCTCCGTAGTCGCGGGTCTGGTTGGGCATTTTGTTCTAAGGGCGAGTATTGATGATGATTGTAGTGAAATAACGCCTTCAAGGCTTTCTTTGGGACTTTCGTGTGATTTTGAATGTTATTAAGAATGTTGATCTGATTGCGTTGAGAAGGTATGTCTGGTCTCTTATATAAATATAGACCGGAACAAAGTTTTGCCTCATCTTGATAGGAGTTGAAATGGTTACACTACGAGCGGTTTTTGTGTGTCTCTGATACGCACCAATTCTGAATGCAGTGGCAGCCAAGGAGAGGGGTTATAGCTAGCCACAATTAACCATAGTGATAGCTGATGAGGGATTGCATAAAACTTTTATTTGATTGAATAGCCTAGATTGATGTTGGGTAGAAATCATCATGTACAGCATCAACTGGTCACCCGAGATTCAAACCGTAGATCAAAGGCTTGAATCATTAACTGAAGTTTTAAGTCTAAAAACTGGAATCTCTACTGGAGAAATGTAAACAAAATGAGAATGTATATATAGATTATAAATTTAATATATTGGGGTGGAATCGGAACACGAAAAAACCAAGGAAAGATTTTCTTGAAAAAACCCATTAATCTCTATTATATTTGAAGCAGAATATTAATCTCTACCCCCTCCCGAAATTACTGAAATAATATTTACCCAAATTAAAAAGATATCATTATTGATATTAAAAAAGAAAATCTAATATATCTATATTAGAATTATTAATATCAATATTATTAATATCAATATTATTAATATCAATATTATTAATATCAATATTATTAATATCAATATTATTAATATTATTAATATTAAATTTATTATATTGAATATAATTAATAAAAAAAAAATTATAAATTCCTATAATGATTTAGACTTTTTAATATTCAAAATTTTTATAAAAAAAATCTCAATTATAAAGAAAAAGACTTTTAAATATAAAAAAAATAAAGGATAGAAACTTTTCAAAAAACTTTGCTTGTTTCAAAAAATATTTTATAAAAGATATATTAATATATATAGCAATTGATATCCTATCGATATATTTATAATTATTTTATACAAAAAAAGAAAAAAGTCAGATCTTTTATTTCATTATAATATATTGTTTTGAATATATAATACTTCATTTCAGTATATAATATTACTGCGAAAATACCAATTTCGATACTATCTCGTACATCTCGCATAGTAGACGATACATTATTAACTATAATAAGAGGAGTAGTAACCTTCTATTATAAAGTATATATTACTAAAAACAATAACATACAAAACTATTATATTCTATTATTTCAATTCTATTCAGATTTTAGTATATTGAATGTAAATTGAGATCAGCTATATGATTATTATACTTTATAGTATAAGATTAAATCCCCTTTATTAATAGAATAATATTAATAAAACAAAAAGAAATAAGAAATATTAGGTTTTAAAAAGAAATTATATGTTATTAATATATTATGAGAGAAGGTAAATATAAGGTTCATAAATAATAAATTAGGGGGTTATAATAGAATAGTAATTTTTTAAAAAAGATTCAAAAAATCAAAAGATAAAAACAACTTTTTAAAAAGAATATAATATTACAACTAATTATAGTTTTTATAATATTTTGAAAAGAATTTAAAAAAAAAAGGATTATTGTATTAAATAAAGAGTATAGAGTTTTTATAAATATATTAAAAGGATTTATAAACGAAAGGTTTTTTGAATAGAATAGATTTATTGCTTAGAAACCTATCAGTCATTTTGCAATCCTTACAGTTTGAAGAAATTGCCATTTCAATTTCAAACTAGGATCCAAGATTCTCCTCCAAGGAGCAAATTATTATATGAATCCAGCAAGATTTCTGGATCCAAACCAGTCCTTTATCTTAATATTATGTGTGATACATGAATCTTGATTTAGTGCAATATAATCAATCAGGTTGTATGAGAGGAGGCCTCAACACCCGCTCACTGCGAGTACTGACAACTGTCGTTGAAATACCGCATATGCGACTACTAATAAGAAGGAGAGGGGTGTGTAACTCTTACATCAAACCGGGAGGAGAAGGTAGGTGAGAGTCTTGAGCACAACAGCATATCAATCAAAACTTTAAATTTGAACTTGATTTATTTGCCCTTGACTACCAACCTCCCACATTCTTCATGTCTGGGAACTTCGCAAGTCATGAGGGCAAGAGGATTCTGGAGAGCGTGCCAACCATCTTGACTGCATTACCACAAAAAAGTGCTTTGCAAATTATATGGTGCAGCGCAATTGGGTTGGCTGCATGTTGCGCTCTTTTCAAGTTGACACAATGAAAAGGTACATTCGTTACATAACATATGTATGCTCGTAATTGCTGAAATTGAATACTTGATGGTGCGGATGTTGGTTTTAGATATGTGCTAAAATTCCGAACCAAGCCAAACAGTAGGTAATGCGATAAACGGGATATATACACACATTTTGATCTGCTTTCATAATTCTATCTTCTTAGTCATTTCCCAGTCAAACTTTTGACGTTGGTATTAACTTTTTCTGATAGACGGAAAAACACATTCGTGTGTGGAACATCCCCCCGCAACCTTGTTGCGTATAAGATGCACGCCACTAGAAGTAGATATCGCCCGCCTCTTGTTGCAGAAGGTAACAAATCTCCCTCAATGCAGGTTTCATCCTGCCGAATATCGTATGGATTAATATTCGCTTTAGATCTCTATCGTAATTCCTAGAACGACTCAATGTTGTGCGCTGGATAAACTGAAGGTCTATTTTCCCAGTGAAGATCGTATGATTAAGGCATACAGCCGAATTTACCAATGATCCTAGACAGGCTTTCTGCTTCTCGCTACCAAGTTACGTATCAGCGAAGATGGCAATTGGTTATGAAATGGATTTCGCACACTGTGTGCGACTGCGACTAATCTTGAAGATTGTCAGAGGTATAGTCAAGCAGCCTACTTTCATACCCCTCCGGCGGGCAACACTAGTGATATGTCCTAATGTTCTGAGTAATTTGTTGATAGTTGTATGCGACTGCCTCCTTTGAGATATGTTTGGGCCTCAACATTAGGGTGGGGGCTGGCTTGGCTCGCAGAAGGGAGGTTACACTGTGGTGTTGCTTCGCCTGAGAGGCGGCTATGACTTACTTCAACTTGACTTTGCTGCTGTTTCAGGAGATCTCCCTCAAGGGGGAGAGGGTCATACTGGTAGACACAAACCTGGTAAACTACACATCAACATGACGTCTTCCTCCTAGAACCTCTGTGATCGAATCCCTTCTTTCATCATTCTCATGTGATACCTAGAGGTCAATGTCAGTTTCCATCCGTGTCCCATTTCTACCCTGGTTCTTGTCTACTTTAAATTTGGATAGGAGATCGAGCATTTATTGCGTGCTGAAATCAAGGAGGACAATTATGTCTGCTCTTTTCAGATCCTGCTCCAACTTTGGATAATAGATCCATATGATAACAGAAGGCTTTGAATGAAGGCGGTGACTCAACTCCAGTATATGGATGTGGGCGCCGTCAATATGATTGTTCAGCTTGATTCTTGAAGGGGTTCGCATTAAGTATTGAATTCAGAATGGGCCCAGGTACTCTTGGTTAGTCAATTCAATATTTCCAGAGATGTTGACCATCCCTCGGATGCATTGTGATGGTAATCTTTTCCCGTGGATTCGTCTCATCCTTCGTTCGTTCAGCCATTCATGTGCTTGAGAATAGCTTGGCAAGTCCCAAATTTGGCGTTTTTGACATTTCACGACATTGTAGTCAAAGCCAAGATATTCATGTTTTGTAATTTACACAATGCCGCCAAGCTGTGGGGGGAAAATTGAGGAATTGGAGAATGGATCTGATGATCACGTTTAATCACGTGTGCTAAATGATGTAATTCCCTGGCGTCTGCAGGGGACATGGAGGAGCGCAAGAAACTTCTTCCAACGTTTCTCATGCCCCGATTTCTTTTTTTGTTTCAATAACAAGGATAAACTCCAATTTATCTTCTTGTTCCATCCTCGACATCCCTCATGATGTTGACTAGAAAGATTATTAATGGCTCGATAGTAATCTCACGATCAGCGATTTTCTTACCCAAAAATTCAATGCACGTGAGATTGCCAACTCGTGGCACTTTGGCTTGGACTTCTGTATCTAGAGAATATCATGATGATGCGATTTCGAACTCCATTTCAAAAATGGCTGCGAAGGAAGAAATATCAGTGGAGGGTGCAGAGGGGCAGGTTATTGAGAGGTCAACTGAAGTGGCGGGAAAAGAGGTAGATGGAAAACATGGGGGAGAATTCGAGAAGAGGAGGAAGACAATTGCGGAAATGGATGAAGAGTTAATGGCGAAGATGGAAGGAAGAGAGGGTGCAGCTGGAGTTTCATATGAAGGGGGGAAGCCGGTGACCGATGGATTTGGGAGGGGCGTGAAGAGTAATATGTTTAGGGTCATTTGAGGAGGTCAAGGTTGAATTTGCATGGAAATGATGGAGGACAGAAGTCCCTGTGGAAGAGAACGATCAAGAAGTGAGAACTTGAGGTTTCGCAAGATACGAATTCCGAAGTCCGCATTGCATTACCACAATATCAAACTACTGTTAATGCATGCCTATCAAAGTCGTCGAATCACCATTTTGAGCGTCTCAACGTGTTTCCAGTAATGGAAGTCGCTTTAAAAGAATAAAAAGGCTGCATGCTTTCAAGTTAAGAAGTCGCGAGTTCACACGCCATTTTAATCACAGGAGTTCCCCCTTTATCAAACGCGGCAATTAGAAACCACAGCCAGGTCTCGACTACCTTCACAAATCCCTAAGAAATTTATGTCTCCAATCCTATTAATTACGCCTACAAGTTATTATCTATTAGAAAATGTGTCTTTGTTTATTCTGGCTTAAATGCAAGTGTAAAGTCTTTCGACGAGACCAGAATGGCAGTCACAATCAATATGTCACTAATGATCGAATATCTCAATCCGGGAGCGAATCACAGCCAACGCGTCTAGGAAGGAAACAAGAGAAGAGGCACAACACAACGAGAAAAGTTCGTTCTCATAATTCAAGCAAACCAAAAAATCCCAATAACATTACCCAAAGAGCAAATTTTGGCATAGAAAAGAAGAGTGGTACGAAAGCATCTCATTTACCCAGACTGAGAAGAACGAAGACTGTCAGAATTACGAGAGACTCAAGAAGGAATACAGGCTTTTGAGCGAGGAGAAAGATGGACGATCGCCAGGAGAGGGAAGCGGGAAGCGGTAATTCATCACAGACAGATATCCTCGGACACGACGTCGATGATTCAAGAGCGAAAAGAGATTTCCTAACAGGGACTTCAGCTGACACTTCAGAGACGGAAAGCCACCCTCTAAAGAAGAGAAAGGTTCAACCTGCGGATTTCGAACGTAGCATGCAAGACAGCGTTGCAGCGTGCAGCAATGTGTTCAATCCTTCATCGACCGACAATTTTGACGCTATAACGCATTCAAATGCCGATCGGAGTCATAAAGGTAGTTCAAACGGGACGGATACTTGTTCAAATAGGAATGAGAAACCTCGTTGGCAAGTTCGTTCACTCCCATTGAGCTCCCGAACCTATAAACGGCAGCATTTAGTTAGAAAAGAACGACGGAGAAACTGCAACATTAGCTCTTCTGCTGTCAATTTTTGTAATTAGGAGCAGTTCGATCGAAATAAAATATTCTCAACAACCAAACTAACTCGGAATGAGAATAGCGTTCAAGTCTGCCTAAAGCAAGCTGGAACCAACGACCAAGAAATAGAGAGCTACTATGACGGGTTTTGTCATACAACGACCCCTATCACCTATCTTCTACAGTCAGCAGAGGAAAAGATCAGTGAAACAATGATTGGAAACGACTTTTATTGTCGAAACGGGAGTAATACATTTTTGGAGAGTTGAAGGAAAGAAGGACCTAGCACATTTTGTGTTGCGACCACTTCCTCGTCTTGATTGGGGGATCGGCGAGGATTCAACACTCGGTTCTTACGAAGGGCCTTTGCTGACTTTAGTGGAGAAACGGTGGCCAAAAAATAAGGGTGATAAAAGCGATTTGCGTTGTGGAGAAGGCGGCTCTTGTAATGGACGAGTTGGAAGAATACATGTCTACGTATGTCTTATGAATTTTCTTCTTCCTTCGCCTCTATGCGCCTCTCTAAGTTGGCCGCGAAGAGCAACTTGCACAATTCCTGAATCGAGACCGAATAGCTACTGCAGATGGTATCTACGCAGTTGTAGACAGCGATGAGGGGTCTCATCTCGCATATCACATTGCAAGCGCTTCATGGGGTAGAGATTCTAAATCCCTTTCGAGTCTCGGCGTTCGCGTAAAAGGATCATTCATATGCTGAGTCGAGAACCCAAAAGCATCAGGTACAGATATTGATAAACCGCGTCTTTATTGGAAATGGTTGCAAGAGGAATTTAGGGGGTTGTTATGGACAGCCTTAGTACAGGAGCATTTGGTTATGGAAGGTTCTAAACATCTGCTTATTCGTGGAAAATCGAAGAATGAGAAAGTCAAAGAGGATAACATAGAAGAGAAGTTAAATAATGCAGAATTCGTAGCAGATTTTGAGAAAGAATTGATTGACTTAGATTATGCGGTAAGTTATTTCTTTTTCTGACCAACCATTTTCAAGCGGTATATTCACATCACAAGGAATGGGTCAAAAACTTCTCCAAGCTCCTGCGCCAAAGGAAACCAGGACTCCTTTGACATGTGCTTGTAGTAAGCAATATATGGATGTAGCTGCAAGTATTCTGGTGTTAGGGTCTCTATATTGCGCCTTTGGGGGACGATCATCCCATCTTCGAACTATTCGAGGCTGTAAAAGATGAAGTTTCTAACCAATGGTACTCTTGGGAATGGATGCGCTCTACTTGAGCACGCTACCAGCGTAAATTTTGTATAAATTTCTGCAGGTTTTCCGAGTGATTTGTTGTCTGAATCGTGAGGGCGATTGTAGAAATTTGAGGTTGGCACAGGTTTCAGCATAGCATCATTGAAGCTGTATGACTGAGAGGTAATATCAGATTCGCGAATGGGTTATCTTTAAGAAGAGTGCATGATTTGGCTTGCTTTACGTCAACATAACCCTGTGTGATATGGAATAGAGTGAGGCTAACAACAAGAGGATGGCATATATGACAAAGCAAACATAGGATAAAAACAGTCTAGACAACACAAAATTCAATGCCATTACTTTTGAATCCTGATCCAAAGTACGATCAGTACTTGGGAAAGTATTATCTGTTCAACGAGGATATTGGTGCTCAGTTGACCATAGAGTTCGAGAAGTAAGGTAATAATGGGGGTCCAAGTTTGTGAAGTAACGAATATTTTTCAACAGGACATGTCATAATGAACCATTTCAAATCAATTTATGATCTGACTAACCTCTTTTGAGGAAATTTCTACACTGATTTGAACGTAGTGAGATATCCCGGAGTCGCAGAAGAGCTAGCAACAGACTTTCCTCTATTGTAGCTTGCCATGGCTTCCCCTTGTAATTTTGAGACAGCAGATATGCAACATTAGGTTCTTGAGGGCTCTGAGTGGCGGATGATTTGCAATTTGTCGTTTCCCGATTACCGATATGAGGGAGCTAAGAGAGCTAGGAGATGTTCTCTGGTCTGGGGTATGATCGGACTTGTGGACTTGATATAGTGGATTGTGGATCTTTTCGGATGAGGTATGCCATTTAAATCTTTACCCAGACAATTATATGACATTCCATCTGTGTCTGTGATTCTATATCGTAAGCAATGAAGCTTCATCGTGCTGTTTTAGGTTGAATTAGAAGTCCTTCGGTATGGTATAACATACACTGTACTGACTAAGGAGAGTGGGGATATTTGTCGCATATGCAACCTGGTCATGAATTCAATTGAGGGAAGTAGAAACAAAATGGTATACATTGTATTACGTGTTTCTCACTTCAATACTCATTTTGTCCAATAATATGAAGTATCAAGCTCTCTTATTGTCGCCGAAGCTACCGCATAAATCAACGCATAAATGTGCACTGCCTAGCCGTAGCCATGTTGAAATATCTTTTTCTAACTAGATATGCAGTCAAAAATCTCGCACAAAAGCCTTGTACGTACAACTCATGATTTCATTGTGGTGATATATGAAGAATGAGCTTCTTTCTATGATTTGCAGTACTCAGTTGGAATTTCATCAAGGTATATTACCAACAAACAAACGATTTACTATCACAAGAAGTGACCATATACCTCAATGATCCTGAGAAATATGGCCTCACAGTCATGTATCATATCATACCTCACTTACAGATATCCTCTGCAGTACGTCATGCAGACCAAGTAGCGGAAATCTATGAAGTATTGTTGCATATCTGTAGCTAGGGCAGGGGGTGTTGACTTCGGCTATCATTACCCAATGTTATTCTCTGAGTTGTAGTAAGAGTTGAGGCCCCGGCTTATCGCACACTAGCCGAAAACACACCAAAAATCTTCATTTCTTCAACTTTTAAATTATATATTATTTTAATAAATATAAAAGTTAAATTATTGAAATTGATTTGTATTATAATTGATTATTGAAATTGTTGAAAAAAATAAATAAATTATTTTTAGTAATTTTTGTTATATAGTTGTAGGCTTTTAAAGTTAGAATTTCAAAAAATTTCAAAAAAATCGATTTTTTTGTATGAGAAAAGTGTTATATGTAATAGATTTTGAAAATTTTCAATTTTGAGATTCTATAACTTTTTTTAAAAAAATATTAAAAATAATCTATTCAATTTTTAAGATTATTTATATAATCAATTTTTATATATATAATTTTGAAATCATTTTTTTAATTATTAAATAAATTATAAAAGAAATTAGTTTATATAGGAAAACGACTTTTTTGTAGAGATTTTATCACAATAAAGGGTGGTATGCGATAAGCCGAGGCCTCAACTCTTACATTAGTATGCTACCCAATTGACCCCAGTCCTTGTTCGAAGGAAGTTGTTTGTTGCATATCTAGGCCAGGGTCGGGCACCTTCTCCTCTGTTAAATTTTCTGAAATTTTTATGGCCTACCTATATTTGTTTGATAACAGAGAGGGAACATTTTCCATCTTTGAATTGAGTTTGTAAGAGGGTTAAAAGTTGCAGAAATAACTTGTGTCTGTCGAAACATTACTTTGATGCAGTTGTTATGGGATCTGAGTCTCATTGTGAATGAGAGTCCTGCTGTCATAATAGTAGTCAAAGGGGGTTTTTATCATTATACAATCATCACAACTGTATGTATCTTTTTTGAAGACTGAGGAATGGGATGAGGAAACACTTTGTCTACTGTTCAATTGTCAACATGGAATCTTGAACTTTTAAGTGTCCTAGGAATATGAAAGGAATTATAATTGCAGCTAAATATGAGATCAGGTACCATGGCAAACTACATTCGTTATGTATTCCGATGATGCACTGGCCATGTTGTCTTTCTCGTCACAGACTAAGATTTTCAGGAAAGGAAGTTGTTGCTAAGACTTCTAGACAGGGGTCTTAGGAGTCAAACTTCTTCCAATCAAAGAGATCAAAGTAGTATTGTTGCACATCTCAAGCCTAAGCAGGGGTCCCTATAATGATGTTCCTAGGATTAAAAGATGAAGTCAAGATTCCTATGAGGTTCCATTACAGGGGTAAATGGTCAGAGAAGTCTCTCCGAATCCAGTAGTTGAACAAAAAACTCTTTTGTTGCATATCGGATCCTGGGTAGGGATCTGAAAGATTCTACTAGCTCCAAACTTAATAACTTTAACCCCCTTCCTCTACCTGGGAAAATCACTGGACCTGTTTATCCTCCTATCCCCCAATTGAATCACAAGACATCAGCTATGTTGTATGCCACAAGCCCAGGTAGAGGTCTGAGATAAGGTTCCACTAGCTCAAAGTATAATACAATATTCCTTGCCTTCAGCATTATTTAACTAATAATTCTGCTTTGTTGCAAGTCGCAAACCAAGACAAGGGTCAATAAGGTTTTGTCTTTTCCTGATCAAGACTGAATATACAGTTTTGTTGCACGTCTGCACAGGGGACAGGGATTCATCTCTAGTCCATCATCCACTAGTTGCCGCCTGTCAGATGAGAAAGTCAATATGGCACTTGAGTAGCTGATCACCTAGGAAACCTCTAATTTCAGACACATAATTAACTCTAACTTTAAACACATACTGAGATCGTTGCATCATCCATTTGCAGTACTAGGAATGCAAGTGTGAATTGTAGCTAGAATTTGTTGATTGGTTACAACTTCATGATCACATATCTAGCTATACAAGATTGATATTAACAAGTTTTTGTGGAATCTGTGATAAGATGAACTGTCAAATTTCTATCTCAGTGCTCGGACTGCTGTCTTAGATCTTCACTTCTCAAGCCCGAGGTTAAAGCTCATTTTGGGACCATCCCTCCAATTCATTTTGACAATGGTGATGACATGACCATCTTCAACTTTGAAAGACTTGTTTATTTTATTCACTTTCTCGAATTGCTTGCTCGCTCGCTGCTTTTGTTGGTTTTCTCACCGCCGGAACCCTCTTCAACCACCATGACAAAAAAAAACGAAAGTCTTCCATGTTAGTACCCATGTAGTGTACGAAGAAGAGTTATTAGTCAATGAAAGTCTCTGTTGATTCAAATTCTCTTTCTGATTGATTGTAGGTTTGTGTACATTGGTCATGTGATTTCGTTTATGTTTAGGGGAGGTTCTGCTTCAGGCCATTTTCATCCAAAATATCTGCTCTTGATGGGAATAGAATAAGACATACTGGCTCAGCCAGTTAATAGAGCTGCAAGAATGACCTCTGGATACTAGTCACAAATATTATTCTGGAAGTTTGGCAGAATACTATGGGATCCACCACCTCTTGAAGAGCGGCCACAACCTTGATTCTGTTTCCCGAGGCAACCTCAAAATTCCAAAGTACTTCTGGATTCTCTAGCGTGATTGAGAGACAGGGATTAAAATTAAGGCCATAACGAGATGAACGATAATCTGTGAGTCTTCAATCTTCTGTGCTGCTCATGATCAACTTTTAATCCTCCACATTTAGAAAGGAACTTCTTCCAAATCTTCATGTGATATCTCAAAGCAATGGAGAGTACGCGTTGGAACTCTTATTCAGTCCTCTAAGTAAACAAAGTATGTGAAAATCTTCCCTTCTTACCATTCATCCTTTCATACCTTCAAACTCTGCCTTTGTCACTTGGCTTGGACTGTGAAAAATTGTCTTGAAGCCTTGTTTGAAATTAGTGCCGCAGTCATTACTAGTTTTTGAAAGTGTTCCAGGTAGCTAACAGCTTACAGAATCAATGAGAAGAAGGATACAAGCCCTTAGGGTCGCTGCACAAACACCTAAGAGTGAGTCAAAATCCATTGAGTACAATCAATCAATCACCGGATATTCCTGAATATTCATGTATCAGCTTGATATGTTATCATCTATGAGACAATCAAGATACGAATGATGCTTTGCGCCATCTGCCAGTCTTTTAAACCGCCTTGCGAACCTCATTTTTCTTCCAAACTCAACGAGCGCGTACTGACTTTACACTTTTAGTTCATCAAATACTCTATGCAATAAATCGCTGGTTACCAGAATCTCACCTATACTTAATATTGAGGGTATATGATGGATCTTTGGTGGGTGCTTGATTGGGCGTAGGCCATCGGCAGCACTCACTTGATGTTCCTCTGCTACTCCTTA